ACATAATGCTGATGAACCTAATCGGTTGGGTAGATTACAGGCTTGTCTTGAGGACATAAAACATTGGATGACTAAGTTTTGCTTTTAAATCAAGACAAGACGGAAGTTCTCATCTTTGGACCAGAAATCCAGAAAAGGAAATTGCTTAGCCAATCGCCTGACTTGAATGGCATTACATTAATCTCCGAGAACAAAGTAAGGAACCTTGGTGTTATCTTTGACCAGGACATGTCATTCAAATCCCAGGTTTCACAAGTTTGTAGGATTTCCTTTTTCCACCTTCGGAATATTGCTAAGATTAGAAGCATCCTTTCCAGAAGTGATGCTGAAAAACTAGTTCATGCATTTATTACATCAAGACTGGATTACTGTAATTCATTAGTCTCAGGAAGTCCACAGAATGTAGTTAAAAGTCTTCAGCTTGTCCAAAATGCTGCAGCTAGAGTTCTGATGAGAATTACAAAGAGAGATCATATATCTCCTGTCTTAGCTTGCCTACATTGGCTACCTGTTAAATTCAGAATAGATTTTAAGATCCTTCTTCTCACATACAAAGCTTTTAATAATCAAGCTCCATCATACATCAGTGATCTGATTGTTCCATACGTTCCTAACCGAGCACTTCGCTCTCAGACTGCAGGTTTACTGGTGGTTCCCAGAATATCTAAAATTAGGATGGGAGGCAGATCTTTTAGTTATCAGGCTTCTCTCCTGTGGAACCAGCTCCCAGCCTTAGTCCGTGAGGCAGACACTTTTAGGCTTAAAACATTTTTATTTGATAGGGCCTATGGTTAAAATCTGATGTTAGCCTAAATCAGGACAAGTGGGGGAGTAGAGGGAGGTGGAGTGTACAGTCGGTAAAGACGGCTCTCCCTTGCCCTGACTCCAACATGCCTCCATCTAAATAGGATAGATTATCCAGAGTTATCTCTGTAGTTATGCTGCTATAGGCTTAGACTGCTGGAGGATACACTGACCACTTTTCACACTCTACTGCTTTCTTCTACAGTCTGCTCTTTAACTGTATTATTTTCTGCAATTTCAGCTGTTAACTTTATTTTCTCTGTAAGTGTTTTTCTCCCCAGAAGAAGCTACAATGATGTTCTGCTGAGCTGTGGTGGCCTCATGGAGGGGGCCATCGTCTAGCACACTGCTGCTAACCACTTAAACATTCCCCCTCTCCTGTTAATAACTTTATGCTTTCCTTGACGTTGGATGTGCTACTGCTAGTTTATCCGTTTAATTATAGATCCACTAGGATAAATACAATAAAGTTGATCTCACCAAACAGAACATTTACTAAGACATCGCAATAGAACTATAGACACATTATTGTGTGTGTGTGTGTGTATGTGTGTGTGCGCGTGCGTGTGTGCGTGCGTGTGTGTCTGCCTGCTCTGTCTTCTCGATCCCCAGTGAGTCGTGGAGGATGGCTGCTTATACTGAGCCAGGATTCTCTGGAGGTTTCTTCCTGTTAAAAGGGAGTTTTCCTCTCCACTGTCGCTGCATGCTTGCTTAGTATGAGGATTGCTGTATAGTCACTGACACTAGCCAGTGACTTGATGCAATTAGCTGGGTTCCTTATATAGGAAACATTATTTCTGATTGGCTTAATGAACTGACCTGAATTGGAATGTTTATTATGTGAAGTGCCTTGAGACGACTCTTGTCGTGATTTGAGGCTATATAAATAAACTTGAATTGAATTGAAGTCAAACAACACATTTCCTTTTGTCTGATCCAATCAGAACATTCGTTTCTGGCTAGGCGTGGTTTTCTGTGGTGTTTGTATAAACCCTCTTTTGCATGTCAAATTCTGATTCACCAGTAAACCAAAATATGACAATCATAAAAACTATCCCACGCCACCTTTTCTTTAGTTCAAAACATTCTAGAGAAGTCTCGGACCGGTCAACCGTACCTCATCTTGAGCCATGAAGAACCTCGACAAGCTGGATAAAATCTGTTGCAAGTTACACCTGACCGCAACGGTTCCTTCAGAATAAAAGCTGAACCTCACGACCCCTTCAGGGTCTCACTGACGCCAATAATAACCTGGAAGCTTTCCAAGACTAGTTTGGTCGGCACCGCTACTTTTCTACCGGCTTCGGTACCAAAGAGGGTCCAAGAGGACCTCGATATTCTGGATCTAAACGGAGGCTTCCCCTGGGGTACGTAGACCGACAGATGGCATTTCATGTGCGTTATAAATCTCCTACTAAAGTTTAGAGCGAAACATTCACTCCCACTCAGAACTAAATGCTTCTCCGGATCCTAAGGTTCTGATGACCACATTGCAAACACACACATCCTCTCATGTCTCACTCCATCCTAGTCCGTCAGTACACAGAGTGTTAAAGTAGTCTTGTTTAAATTGTGTAGAAATAAATTTCATAACTATTATAAACCTGACTCTCTCTCTTTCCTCGGAGTTAATACAAAGTGTCGCTTAATCCCTGCAATAAAAAGTTCTGATCTTCTGGTTGTAATATTTAAAGATCCATCAGATTGATGTTTCATATTTCTATGGAATCTCACATTTTATGGTCCATAAGTAAGATGTAAACTACCCATCCTTTACACCTGACATGGTAAAGTGTGACTTGTGAACAGGTCTGTTTGCCCACATGCAGAAACATTTGACCGTGGAACAACTCAACGGGGGGCGCTACTACCTGTTGGGGGTAACTCTGTAACGCCCCCCCCATCCTCATGTAACCCTTTTCTAACTGAAAATGGCCGCTCTTGGCTGCCTGTCTCCTTCTTTGTTGTACATGTCATGTGTCATACGCTCCAGGACAATGACAAAGTTGATTCTGATTTTCTGGTGTGTGAATGAGAAATTAAGGATGAGTCCAACAACCTTCAGGCGAATGTAGAGGGTGGAGTATCCGGTGGATTCTACGGTGGAGTAGATCTCCTCTGGAGTCAGAGCTTTTACTCTCAGAGGAAGAAGCTTCCTGTTGCGATTGGTTTTGAAGATGTCAAAAGGTTCTCCGTTAGCCAGCTGAGGGAAGGAGGACCTCAGGTGGTCCAGGAAGTCAGACTCCTGTAGACCACAAGGACACTTCAGGTCCTGGACTGGAGTTGTCGTAAACACTAGGAGAAACATTTAGATGAAGATAAAGATCAAGTCCTAATCATCAGTACCTCATGATACTCAAACATCTCTCCTCTGATTGGCTCACAGCAACACGACTCTACCACTGACGGTTTGCTCCTTAACTCCACATATAACAAGCCTGGAGGAGTTCTGCTGTGTGGTGGTACAGCTAATGCTAATGGTTAGCTTCTACTAGCTTAGACGTTCTCCGCTGTTTCCTGGAGGCTAAACCAGAATTCACAAAGATCCGACTGGCTCATCAGGTAAAAATCTGTTTCTCTGTGAAACCGCTCATTGATGTCCTGACTAGAGCCCTGCACGGGCCTAAAATCTGAGCCCGTGTCCGGCCCGAGGGGGTGGAGCCCCGTCCCGACCCGGTCCGAAAAGGTTTTCAGGATTCTCTGGCCCGACCCGAGCCCGACTTTTTTTTAACCAACTAAATGAAAACAAAGTGCGTCAATCCTGACCAATGTGTTAAAAGACGTGCAGGATCCGATCAATTTGTTCTTCCCTCGTTTACCGTCACGAAGATAACGGTGCACTGGCTCTGGTGTTAATCAAGTTAAATTTGATCTCTTTCCAACAATTATCACAAGAAAACAGAACAGTTAAAAGCAGGGCTTGTGTTGACCGGATAGTTCCCGTATTTGACCGTTTATTTTGACGGAGAAAGAAAAGAATTACCCCGACGCATGCAGACGAACTGACATTTTATTCTACGCACATCGCAGATGTAGCTAAATCACTCAAGAAAAGATTCCCATCTGAGCTGGACACTGCTCAGCGCATAGGTGCACAGCGAGCTGAAGATGTGGAGATTGGCTTGGAGCGCGTCGCAGAACCAGAGCGCATGCGGGAAGGTCCTCCCACTGAAGCGAGTGTTTTCCAAACCCTGTCTCTCAGAGAGACTTGTCACTTAGAAAATGTTCCCTGATAATGAAACTTTGGCTGAATAGTGCTTGTTCCTGTCTCCAATGTGGCGACACATCCAGGAGCCGTCTGAGGAGAATCCCAGAATCTCACATCCTCTTCAGCTCAGAGAGCGCCGAAATGATTACGCACAAGCGTGATGCGTCAACCCGGTCTCACAGTAAGATCGGGTTGGACCTGTTCAGGTTTACGCAGACAATCTTTACATAGAATTGACTTACAGATAAAAAATTAATTCAGTAAAATATAAAGCATTTTATTTGAATATCCATTCATTATTTTACAAACACAGAGAGCCGCATCAGATGGATGGAAAAGCCGCGGGTTGCCGATCCCTGCTCTAGTTCAAGATATCATTAAAATTCCAAAAGTGCTGAAAAGATTAAAAGTGGGGCTTTCCGTACATATACAATACATTACGGTAGCCACCGGGATTCCCTGTCTTGAGCGCAACGAATCACAACACAGATTCAGAGACGTGCTGAGTTTGTCATCCAAAATGCTCCGATTTATAACTTTTGAACGGCTTATCAGACTGACAAAATTCCAACGGTTCCTAAAAGTACATAAAAGCAGCTTTCCAACGATCTATAGCATGAAGCAATCAGAATTAGAGAAAATATCGCTACGAGGGGAAATCCTGCTGCACAGCCTGATTGAAACAGAGCGCCACGGTGAAAGCGGATAACCTATAAAATGACATGTTGAGGACGCAAACTCAATACATCTCTTTTATTGTGAGGTAATCATTTCTCCGAGTTTTGCGGGTGCGAGCGGGAGTAGACATGGATGCTGCGGGTGCGGGTGGTAATGGTCAGAAATTCAGCGGGATGAAGTAAACAGTCCCGCGCAGGGCTCTACTGCTGCTGTGTTTCAATTTTTTTTATGAATTCGATTAAAAATAAAGATGCCCGGCCCGGCCCGTGTCCGAGGTAATTACAGAGTTGTTGGCCCGAAGCCCGGCCCTCAGGCCGACCCGTGGGCCGGGCTTCAGTGCAGGGCTCTAGTCCTGACTCATCAGGCGTGTTTAGTTGTGTTGTTGATCGACTTGAGAAATATGCGCGTCTGCAGACCTGAGAAGGACTAAAACATGTGTGATGAGTGGATCTTCTGGAACCAGGAGAGTTCAGAACGTACCGGTGTCAGAGAGAACCTCAGTCTCAGAGTCCTCCAGTAACCGGACCCTCAGAACTACGTGTTTCTGTAGAGCGCTGGTCCCAGGACCATCGGGTCTGTTACCCACAGAAGGAACTCTGGGAAGATCAACAGAACATCAGTGTATGTGGCTTTGATGGTATGTAAACAACAGCCTGTTACATCATTAACCACCAGCAGGACGTTAGGCTCCTCTGTCAGTGGGTCCCAGGGCAGCCGTGGCTACGGTGGAGCTCATCACCACCAGCGTGTGAATGGGTGAAGGACAGCTTTGGAGTCCTCTGACTCAGGAAGGTGCTACACAAGTGTGGGTCCTTTTTATTTATCGTAACTAAAATTAAGACCAACCATCCCAGCAGGGGCTTTGTGTACTTCCTGGTTCTGTTACCCTGATAGCATTGTTGTCCCTGGGTCTTTCAGGTCCACCTGGAATGGTCCATGGTTTCCTGGAGGTGGTTTCCCCTCCTCTTCTTCCTCCTTGGTGGTCACAGGTGGCAGGTCCAGGCTCTCTGCTGCTTCCTCCTTATCTGGACACCAAACAGCCAGAGTTAGTCTCTGATCTCTGATGTGAATAAACATCTGAATCCGTCTCCAGTTGTAGAAATGTTAGCTGTGGTTGCTGAACTGCTGACACATACCTGGCTGCTCCTCTTCCTCACCAGCAGCCACCACCTCATGGCTGCGCTGATCTGGGACCAGCTCTTTGTGTTTTCAGACACAATAAAACAACATGTCAGATGAAACGTTTACCTCCACGTGTCAATAATAAACCTTCAGAACACACACACACACACACACGCAGTTCGGGGCATACCAAGGGTAGAGAGCACCTCCATGTTGGAGTCCTCCGGTAGCAGCATCCTGAAGTCTAGATGCTTCAGCTTCTTGATGTTCCGTCGTCTATATACCTTCTTCCTGACAGAGAGTCTAGAAGAACCAACAACTTGTGATTACTCGTGATACATAACTGGTGGGCTGGTCATTGATGATGATTATCAAGATTAGTGGTGACCTCTGAACTTTAGTAAATCACACTTCCTGCCCAACGACGTTTCCATCTATATTCACCTGGATCTGAGACCCGTTCCATCGGTGGTCACTGGGTCAGAAGATGGAGGGTCAGTGGTTCTATGAGGACCAGTAAATTCTTCTTTGTTGTGCCTTGTTTTATCTTTTCCAGCCTGGAAACAATGTTCTCACGTTAACTGTAAACTACTTTGTTCACAGGCAGGAATTAAACAGTGTCAATAACAAACGTCCAAACTGGTTTTCATAAAAGCTTTTATCTCTTAATGTAGTAAAGAATCTCCTCAGAATCAAGTGGCACTTATAAAAGACCCTAGACCTGACCCAGACTCCCCCTGATGACCCTAGACCTGATCCAGACTCTCTCTGATGACCCTAGACCTGACTCACTCCCCCGGATGACCCTAGACTTAACTCAGACTCTCTCTGATGACCCTAGACCTGACCCACTCTCTCTGATGACCCTAGACCTGACTCACTCCCCCTGATGACCCTAGACTTAACTCCGACTCTCTCTGATTACCCTAGACCTGACCCACTCTCTCTGATGACCCTACACCTGACCCACTCTCCCCCTGATGACCCTAGACTTGACTCACTCCCCCTGATGACCCTAGACCTGACCCAGACTCTCCATGATGAACCTAGACCTGACCCAGACTCTCTCTGATGACCCTAGACCTGACTCACTCCCCCTGATGACCCTAGACCTGACTCACTCTCCCCCTGATGACCCTTGACCTAACTCAGACTCTTTCTGATGACCCTAGACCTGACTCACTCTCCCCCTGATGACCCTAGACCTGACTCACTCTCTCTGATGACCCTAGACCTGACCCAGACTCTCTGATGACCCTAGACCTGACCCAGACTCTCTCTGATGACCCTAGACCTCACTCACTCTCTCTGATGACCCTAGACCTGACTCACTCTCCCCCTGATGACCCTAGACCTGACTCACTCTCCCCCGGATATCCCTAGACTTGACTCACTCCCCCTGATGACCCTAGACCTGATCCAGACTCTCTCTGATGACCCTAGACCTGACTCACACCCCCTGATGACCCTAGACCTGACCCAGACTCTCTCTGATGACCCTAGACCTGACTCACTCTCCCCCTGATGACCCTTGACCTAACTCAGACTCTCTCTGATGACCCTAGACCTGACCCACTCTCCCCCTGATGACCCTAGACCTGACTCACTCTCTCTGATGACCCTAGACCTGACCCATACTCTCCATGATTACCCTAGACCCGACCCAGTCTCTCTGATGAGCCTAGACCTGACCCATAATCTCCATGATGACCCTAGACCTGACCCAGACTCTCTGATGACCCTAGACCTGACCCAGACTCTCTCTGCTGACCCTAGACCTGACCCAGACTCTCTCTGCTGACCCTAGACCTGACCCAGACTCTCTCTGATGACCCTAGACCTGACTCACTCTCCCCCTGATGACCCTTGACCTAACTCAGACTCTCTCTGATGACCCTAGACCTGACTCACTCTCCCCCTGATGACCCTAGACCTGACCCACTCTCTCTGATGACCCTAGACCTGACCCATACTCTCCATGATTACCCTAGACCCGACCCAGTCTCTCTGATGAGCCTAGACATGACCCATACTCTCCATGATGACCCTAGACCTGACCCATACTCTCCATGATGACCCTAGACCTGACCAAGACTCTCTGATGACCCTAGACCTGACCCAGACTCTCTCTGATGACCCTAGACCTGACTCACTCTCTATGATGACCCTAGACCTGACCCAGACTCTCTCTGACGATCCTAGACCTGACTCACTCTCTCTGATGACCCTAGACCTGACTCACTCTCCCCCTGATGACCCTAGACTTGACTCACTCTCCCCCTGATGACCCTAGACCTGACCCAGACTCTCTCTGATGACCCTAGACCTGACCCAGACTCTCTCTGATGACCCTAGACCTGACTCACTCCCCCTGATGACCCTAGACCTGACCCAGACTCTCTCTGATGACCCTAGACCTGACTCACTCTCTCTGATGACCCTAGACCTGACTCACACCCCCTGATGACCCTAGACCTGACTCACACCCCCTGATGACCCTAGACCTGACTCACTCTCCCCCTGATGACCCTAGACCTGACTCACTCTCTCTGATGACCCTAGAGCTGAATCACACCCCCTGATGACCCTAGACCTGACTCACTCTCCCCCTGATGACCCTAGACCTGACTCACTCTCCCCCGATGACCCTAGACCTGACTCACTCTCCCTCTGATGACCCTAGACCTGACTCACTCTCCCCCTGATGACCCATGACCTAACTCAGACTCTCTCTGATGACCCTAGACCTGACTCACTCTCCCCCTGATGACCCTAGACCTGTGTAGCATCATGAATGTCCTGTTTTTGACCTAAAGGTCATAATCTGCTGCGTCTGCTCGAGCAGAGACATAAAGTCTCTGACAGCCTAATCTACATGAGATAGTGGCCAAGGTCTTTCATGCACTCTGCTCATCTGAACTGCTTCACCTCTGTTACAACTCAAGACGAAGAACTAACTCTCTTTTGATAAACACATAATCAAACGTTTGTTATTACCAATAATAATGTGAATCCAATGTTCAATCAATCTGTGAAATGACAATGTTATTACTTGATGTTATAATCCTGTGATCAGTAGTATTTTACTAGAAATTAAAATCCTGGGCATTTGCACTAGACACTGATGACACATAATGCTGATGAACCTAATCGGTTGGGTAGATTACAGGCTTGTCTTGAGGACATAAAACATTGGATGACTAAGTTTTGCTTTTAAATCAAGACAAGACGGAAGTTCTCATCTTTGGACCAGAAATCCAGAAAAGGAAATTGCTTAGCCAATCGCCTGACTTGAATGGCATTACATTAATCTCCGAGAACAAAGTAAGGAACCTTGGTGTTATCTTTGACCAGGACATGTCATTCAAATCCCAGGTTTCACAAGTTTGTAGGATTTCCTTTTTCCACCTTCGGAATATTGCTAAGATTAGAAGCATCCTTTCCAGAAGTGATGCTGAAAAACTAGTTCATGCATTTATTACATCAAGACTGGATTACTGTAATTCATTAGTCTCAGGAAGTCCACAGAATGTAGTTAAAAGTCTTCAGCTTGTCCAAAATGCTGCAGCTAGAGTTCTGATGAGAATTAAAAAGAGAGATCATATCTCTCCTGTCTTAGCTTCCCTACATTGGCTACCTGTTAAATTCAGAATAGATTTTAAGATCCTTCTTCTCACATATAAAGCTCTTAATAATCAAGCTCCACCATACATCAGTGATCTGATTGTTCCATACGTTCCTAACCGAGCACTTCGCTCTCAGACTGCAGGTTTACTGGTGGTTCCCAGAATATCTAAAATTAGGATGGGAGGCAGATCTTTTAGTTATCAGGCTTCTCTCCTGTGGAACCAGCTCCCAGCCTTAGTCCGTGAGGCAGACACTTTTAGGCTTAAAACATTTTTATTTGATAGGGCCTATGGTTAAAATCTGATGTTAGCCTAAATCTGGACAAGTGGGGGAGTAGAGGGAGGTGGAGTGTACAGTCGGTAAAGACGGCTCTCCCTTGCCCTGACTCCAACATGCCTCCATCTAAATAGGATAGATTATCCAGAGTTATCTCTGTAGTTATGCTGCTATAGGCTTAGACTGCTGGAGGATACACTGACCACTTTTCACACTCTACTGCTTTCTTCTACAGTCTGCTCTTTAACTGTATTATTTTCTGCAATTTCAGCTGTTAACTTTATTTTCTCTGTAAGTGTTTTTCTCCCCAGAAGAAGCTACAATGATGTTCTGCTGAGCTGTGGTGGCCTCATGGAGGGGGCCATCGTCTAGCACACTGCTGCTAACCACTTAAACATTCCCCCTCTCCTGTTAATAACTTTATGCTTTCCTTGACGTTGGATGTGCTACTGCTAGTTTATCCGTTTAATTATAGATCCACTAGGATAAATACAATAAAGTTGATCTCACCAAACAGAACATTTACTAAGACATCGCAATAGAACTATAGACACATTATTGTGTGTGTGTGTGTGTGTATGTGTGTGTGCGCGTGCGTGTGTGCGTGCGTGTGTGTCTGCCTGCTCTGTCTTCTCGATCCCCAGTGAGTCGTGGAGGATGGCTGCTTATACTGAGCCAGGATTCTCTGGAGGTTTCTTCCTGTTAAAAGGGAGTTTTCCTCTCCACTGTCGCTGCATGCTTGCTTAGTACGAGGATTGCTGTATAGTCACTGACACTAGTCAGTGACTTGATGCAATTAGCTGGGTTCCTTATATAGGAAACATTATTTCTGATTGGCTTAATGAACTGACCTGAATTGGAATGTTTATTATGTGAAGTGCCTTGAGACGACTCTTGTCGTGATTTGGCGCTATATAAATAAACTTGAATTGAATTGAAGTCAAACAACACATTTCCTTTTGTCTGATCCAATCAGAACATTCGTTTCTGGCTAGGCGTGGTTTTCTGTGGTGTTTGTATAAACCCTCTTTTGCATGTCAAATTCTGATTCACCAGTAAACCAAAATATGACAATCATAAAAACTATCCCACGCCACCTTTTCTTTAGTTCAAAGCGTTCTAGAGAAGTCTCGGACCGGTCATCCGGACCTCATCTTGAGCCATGAAGAACCTCGACAAGCTGGATAAAATCTGTTGCAAGTTACACCTGACCGCAACGGTTCCTTCAGAATAAAAGCTGAACCTCACGACCCCTTCAGGGTCTCGCTGACACCAATAATAACCTGTCGTGACCTGGAAGCTTTCCAAGACTAGTTTGGTCGGCACCGCTACTTTTCTACCGGCTTCGGTACCAAAGAGGGTCCAAGAGGACCTCGATATTCTGGATCTAAACGGAGGCTTCCCCTGGGGTATGTAGACCGACAGATGGCATTTCATGTGCGTTATAAATCTCCTACTAAAGTTTAGAGCGAAACATTCACTCCCACTCTGAACTAAATGCTTCTCCGGATCCTAAGGTTCTGATGACCACATTGCAAACACACACATCCTCTCATGTCTCACTCCATCCTAGTCCGTCAGTACACAGAGTGTTAAAGTTAGTCTTGTTTAAATTGTGTAGAAATAAATTTCATAACTATTATAAACCTGACTCTCTCTCTTTCCTCGGAGTTAATACAAAGTGTCGCTTAATCCCTGCAATAAAAAGTTCTGATCTTCTGGTTGTAATATTTAAAGATCCATCAGATTGATGTTTCATATTTCTATGGAATCTCACATTTTATGGTCCATAAGTAAGATGTAAACTACCCATCCTTTACACCTGACATGGTAAAGTGTGACTTGTGAACAGGTCTGTTTGCCCACATGCAGAAACATTTGACCGTGGAACAACTCAACGGGGGGCGCTACTACCTGTTGGGGGTAACTCTGTAACGCTCCCCCCATCCTCATGTAACCCTTTTCTAACTGAAAATGGCCGCTCTTGGCTGCCTGTCTCCTTCTTTGTTGTACATGTCATGTGTCATACGCTCCAGGACAATGACAAAGTTGATTCTGATTTTCTGGAGTGTGAATGAGAAATTAAGGATGAGTCCAACAACCTTCAGGCGAATGTAGAGGGTGGAGTATCCGGTGGATTCTACGGTGGAGTAGATCTCCTCTGGAGTCAGAGCTTTTACTCTCAGAGGAAGAAGCTTCCTGTTGCGATTGGTTTTGAAGATGTCAAAAGGTTCTCCGTTAGCCAGCTGAGGGAAGGAGGACCTCAGGTGGTCCAGGAAGTCAGACTCCTGTAGACCACAAGGACACTTCAGGTCCTGGACTGGAGTTGTCGTAAACACTAGGAGAAACATTTAGATGAAGATAAAGATCAAGTCCTAATCATCAGTACCTCATGATACTCAAACATCTCTCCTCTGATTGGCTCACAGCAACACGACTCTACCACTGACGGTTTGCTCCTTAACTCCACATATAACAAGCCTGGAGGAGTTCTGCTGTGTGGTGGTACAGCTAATGCTAATGGTTAGCTTCTACTAGCTTAGACGTTCTCCGCTGTTTCCTGGAGGCTAAACCAGAATTCACGAAGATCCGACTGGCTCATCAGGTAAAAATCTGTTTCTCTGTGAAACCGCTCATTGATGTCCTGACTAGAGCCCTGCACGGGCCTAAAATCTGAGCCCGTGTCCGGCCCGGCCCGAGGGGGTGGAGCCCCAGCCCGACCCGGTCCAAAAAGGTTTTCAGGATTCTCTGGCTCGACCCGAGCCCGACTTTTTTTTAACCAACTAAATGAAAACAAAGTGCGTCAATCCTGACCGATGTGTTAAAAGACGTGCAGGATCCGATCAATTTGTTCTTCCCTCGTTTACCGTCACGGAGATAACGGTGCACTGGCTCTGGTGTTAATCAAGTTAAATTTAATCTCTTTCCAACAATTTTCACAAGAAAACAGAACAGTCAAAAGCAGGGCTTGTGTTGTGTTGACCGGATAGTTCCCGTATTTGACCGTTTATTTTGACGGAGAAAGAAAAGAATTACCCCGATGCATGCAGACGAACTGACATTTTATTCTACGCACATCGCAGATGTAGCTAAATCACTCAAGAAAAGATTCCCATCTGAGCTGGACACTGCTCAGCGCATATGTGCACAGCGAGCTGAAGATGTGGAGATTGGCTTGGAGCGCGTCGCAGAACCAGAGCGCATGCGGGAAGGTCCTCCCACTGAAGCGAGTGTTTTCCAAACCCTGTCTCTCAGAGAGACTTGTCACTTAGAAAATGTTCCCTGATAATGAAACTTTGGCTGAATAGCGCTTGTTCCTGTCTCCAATGTGGCGACACATCCAGGAGCCGTCTGAGGAGAAGCCCAGAATCTCACATCCTCTTCAGCTCAGAGAGCGCCGAAATGATTACGCACAAGCGTGATGCGTCAACCCGGTCTCACAGTAAGACCGGGTTGGACCTGTTCAGGTTTACGCAGACAATCTTTACATAGAATTGACTTACAGATATAAAATTAATTCAGTAAAATATAAAGCATTTTATTTGAATATCCATTCATTATTTTACAAACACAGAGAGCCGCATCAGATGGATGGAAGAGCCGCGGGTTGCCGATCCCTGCTCTAGTTCAAGTTATCATTAAAATTCCAAAAGTGCTGAAAAGATTAAAAATGGGGCTTTCTGTGCATATACAATACATTACGGTAGCCACCGGGATTCCCTGTGTTGATCGCAACGAATCACAACACAGATTCAGAGACGTGCTGAGTTTGTCATCCAAAATGCTCCGTTTTATAACTTTTGAACGGCTTATCAGACTGACAAAATTCCAACGGTTCCTAAAAGTACATAAAAGCAGCTTTCCCTCGATCTATAGCACGAAGCAATCAGAGTTAGTGAAAATATCGCTACGAGGGGAAATCCTGCTGCACAGCCTGATTGAAACAGAGCGCCACGGTGAAAGCGGATAACCTATAAAATGACATGTTGAGGACGCAAACTCAATACATCTCTTTTATTGTGAGGTAATCATTTCTCCGAGTTTTGCGGGTGCGAGCGGGAGTAGACATGGATGCTGCGGGTGTGAGCGGTAAGGGTCAGAGATTCAGCGGGATGAAGAAAGCAGTCCCGCGCAGGGCTCTACTGCTGCGTTTAAGTGTTTCAATTTTTTTAATGAATTCGATTAAAAATAAAGACGCCCGGCCCGGCCCGGCCCGTGTCCGCGGTAATTACAGAGTTGTTGGCCCGAAGCCCGGCCCTCGGAATGGGCCGACTCGTGGGCCAAGGGCTTCAGTGCAGGGCTCTAGTCCTGACTCATCAGGCGTGTTTAGTTGTGTTGTTGATCGGCTTGAGAAATATGCACGTCTGCAGACCTGAGAAGGACTAAAACATGTGTGATGAGTGGATCTTCTGGAACCAGGAGAGTTCAGAACGTACCGGTGTCAGAGAGAACCTCAGTCTCAGAGTCCTCCAGTAACCGGACCCTCAGAACTACGTGTTTCTGTAGTGCGCTGGTCCCAGGACCATCGGGTCTGTTACCCACAGAAGGAACTCTGGGAAGATCAACAGAACATCGTATCGGCTCTGTTAGAGGGACAACGATCACTGATAAAGCCTATGTGGCTTTGATGGTATGTAAACAACAGCCTGTTACATCATTAACCACCAGCAGGACCTTAGTCTCCTCTGTCAGTGGGTCCCAGGGCAGCCGTGGCTACGGTGGAGCTCATCACCACCAGCGTGTGAATGGGTGAAGGACAGCTTTGGAGTCCTCTGACTCAGGAAGGTGCTACACAAGTGTGGGTCCTTTTTATTTAACGTAACTAAAATTAAGACCAACCATCCCAGCAGGGGCTTTGTGTACTTCCTGGTTCTGTTACCCTGATAGCATTGTTGTCTCTGGGTCTTTCAGGTCCTCCTGGAATGGTCCATGGTTTCCTGGAGGTGGTTTCCCCTCCTCTTCTTCCTCCTTGGTGGTCACAGGCGGCAGGTCCTGGCTCTCTGCTGCTTCCTCCTTATCTGGACACCAAACAGCCAGAGTTAGTCTCTGATCTCTGATGTGAACAAACATCTGAATCCGTCTCCAGTTGTAGAAATGTTAGCTGTAGCTGCTGAACTGCTGACACATACCTGGCTGCTCCTCTTCCTCACCAGCAGCCACCACCTCATGGCTGCGCTGATCTGGGACCAGCTCTTTGTGTTTTCAGACACAATAAAACAACATGTCAGATGAAACGTTTACCTCCACGTGTCAGTAATGAACCTTCAGAACAGTCTCTCAGCACCACCTCCAGCCTCCCACTGACCTTCTCTGAGGAGTTTGACCCGAGGCTGCAGGAGCTCCAGGTGCCTCCTCTGGCGGTCCACCTGCTGCCTGAAGCCCGAAGCCTCCGCCTCGTAGTCGGTTACGATCCTCTCCACCACCGCGAAGATCTCCCGCGCGGCCGTGGTCAGCTTCTCGGTGATGATTCCTCTCACAATATCAGTTTTAGACCCACTGAGCGGCTCCGAGCCGCCGCTGCTGCAGTAAAACATCACTTATCCTCCTGTTCAGCACTCTGGAGCAAAGAAACAACAACTTCTACACGCTGGTCGGAAGCGGAGCAACCCACTTCCGTGTTGTGGTGCAACCAGAAATGTCATCCCCGGTGCGAAGCTAAAGTTGTTTCCTATTTACATTCTCGTGCTAATCTTGTTCTGGCCAGATGCACACCGTGCTAAAAGCTGCCTTTTTTAACCTTCAAAAATCAAAAAATTCACTCTCTTTATTCGTGTTATTTTACTACAAAGACTGGGGTTTTAGGGGGGTTTTGTAATAAGCAAATTAAAGCTGAAGTTGCAAACTAGGAAAACAAATCAAATCAAATCAAAGATACTTTATTAATCCCAGAGGGAAATGAGCCTAAAACAATAATTTCATTCCTCTTAACGACTTTCTAACAGTTTGCTAGAAATATATTGAGAATTAAATTTTATTTATTTATTTATTTATTTTTATTTTTTTGTTATCTCACACAGGGCTGCCAACTTTTGAACATTTGGAGTGACATGGGGTCATGGGGTTGGGAGCGGAAAATTCGCAGACCGTTTTGGGAGGGTATTGTATATAATATTGAGACTTTTTGAGCTCTACATTTTATTTATTTATTTCTACTCTGTATGGAAGAGGATTACCGCTCATAATATCAGAGAAGTAGAAACAGCCGGCTGCTACCACCTCGACTTTTGAACAAACCACCAGAGTCCATAAAAGATGGTGCCATTTTTATTCACAGACACCAAGTGATGTTTGGACCTAGAATACGGTGGGGGTGGCGTGGTTGATGAATTAGTTGGCATCACTTCTTAACATATTTGAGAATGAAAAAGGAAATTTGAACCAATCCAATCCAATTAGACTATTTAAGTGTGTGTGTGTGTGTGTGTGTGTGTGTGTGTGTGTGAGAGTGTGTGTGTGTGTGTGTGTGTGTGTGTGTGTGTGTGTGTTACTTTTGGGGGAGCCGGTAAAGTCTGATTTAAACATCTCCATCAGCTCAAGTGTGGAGTCATGCATATACATTGATGGAGAGGTTTTCCCTTCAGATTTCTCATCACCTGAGGAGTGCTGCAAAGCAATTCCTCGCCAGGACAACAAAGGGCTGTTCCTTTGCACATCGAGAGGAGCCAGTTGAGGTTGCTCGGGCATCTGGTCAGGATGCCTCCTGGATGCCTCCCTGGTAAGGTTTCCCAGGCACGTCCAACCGGGAGGAGGCCTAAAGGGAGACCCAGGACACGCTGAAGGGCTATGTCTCTCAGCTGGCCAGGAAACACCTTGGGATTCCCCTGGAGGACCTGGTCAAAGTGGCTGGGGAGAGGGAAGTCTGGGCCTCTCGACTTAGGCTGCTGTCCCTGCGACCTGACTCCGGAAGAGCGGAAGAAAATGGATGGATGGACAACAAAGGGCGTAGTGCTCTTCTGGAGTATCCTGCCACCATTACAGTCACTTATCTGGACCAAGATCATGTATTTACTGCTGTGTTTACATTGTTTCAATGCAAAATCTATGGGAGAAAACCCTAAATAAGACCTAAAACTCAAACTGAAAACTTGGCTTAGGGGCTTAACCACAAACAACCATCAAAGGTAGATACTCGGGTATCGTCAGCATAGTAGCCTGGTAATATCAGTGATGAAATCACTAAAACCAATGTCTAGGCAACAAGATCATGAGCACCAGATGGGCTCAAAGTGCTCAGGGGCTCTCAGAGCTCCCCTGAGTCCCACACCAGTTTAGTCCTCTGAGCCTTGTGAAGACTCCTCTGCTGATCCCTGATTGGGGTCAGCTGTGCAAGCAGCAGCAAGAGGGAGGAGGGACAAGGCAGAGGGATGTTAGAGCATTGTCCATGGTGCAGGAAGAGTGCTGTCCAGGATGCTCAGGCTAGAACCGTATCTGCAGAAACATGTGTTAGATGTTTATGTTTATGTATTTAGCAGACGCTTTTGTCCAAAGCGAATTACAAGTGATAATCGGCATGTTGCCCTTGAGGCTAACAACAACAATAACAACAACAACTTGACATCAGTCATGGAGAGTAGGGAACAAGGAGTGGACAGTAGAGAGGGGGGACGGGTGCAGGTAGGGTGCTAGTTAAGAAGATGCTCTCTGAAGAGCAGGGTCTTCAGGAGTTTCTTGAAAATTGAAAAGGAAGCCCCTGTTCTGGTAGTGCTTGGTAGGTCATTCCACATTTGTAGAATGATGCATGAGAAAAGTCTGGATTGTCCTGAGCGTGGTGTAGGCACTGCATACCATACCATACCATACCGTACAGTCCCATACCATACCATACCATACCATACCATACCATACCATACCATACGGTCCCATACCATACCATACCATACCATACCATACCGTCCCATACCATACCATACGGTCCCATACCATACCATACCATACAATACAGTCCAATACCGTACCATACCATACCATACCATACCATACCGTACCATACCATACCATACCATACCATACCATACAGTCCCATACCGTACCATACCATACGGTCCCATACCATACCATACCATACCATATCATACAGTCCCGTACCATACCGTACCGTACCGTACTGTACCATACCACACCATACCACTTTTATTTATAAAGTGCTTTTAACATGGTATTACAGTCAACCAAAGAGCTGCACATGATAAAACAACACAAAGCATAAAAGAGTCACATTATAAAAAACAAAATAAAATTGTACAAGTACAATCAAGCATAATATTTTATATTGTACTAAACTGTATTAAACTATTTTGACCAAAGATGGTTAGGCTGCTTCCATTGTGACCCGACTGGACTGTAGATAGGTGGAGAAAAATCGATTGCTGGATGACCAACTCAGTGGCGCCTTCTGTTACGACCCCTGGGTTTTACCATGGTTGGTCGTATTATTATAACTGTTTAGTCAGTGTTTTGCCCCCTGCTTTGGTAGTTTTCTGCCCATTGTTTTGTTTTCTTTTGGAGTGACAACACTGGACCCAGATACAAGATGGCTGCCTCCATGCTGTTGTCCAGTAATCATGGAAACCACAATGAGCACCGCCAGCCTCATCACTAGTGGATCCCTCCACGGTTTTTCAGGTGGAAGCAATTGGACTAATCATTTTCTCTGGATCTGGAAAGGATAAAAGGCTGGAGGAACTTTCATTCTGGGAGTTACTTGTAACCAAGTAGTCTCCATTTGAGCTGGTTTCAGGGTTTAGAAGTTTAAACATCTTGAAAGAAAATAATTCCTTAACTTTTAATAAGTCTCTCATTGGGTTTAGTAATTACTCATAGTAAAAGGACTACAGTGGCCACTGTTTGAGTTTGAGAGTCTTTTGTGGTTAAGTTGCTGAGTTATTATATAGAAGGTGAAAGCTTCTTTAGGTTTTGGAAATAACCCTGAGTCTTTTAGTTAATCCACCCCTCATCTTTCTTTTGTACCATCCTGTTGGACACTTAGGTCTGATAGGTTTTCTTTTGTTGCTGCCAGTTAAAAGATCTGAGCCTTAGCCTCTTGCTTTACTTTGTACTAACATTGGACTCTCTGAGTTTCATGGGCTGTGTTAGTTGTATTGCTGTTAGGATTTCCAGCCCTTGGTTTTTGTGTTATCTTCTAATGTTTTAATAAATTTTTTCTTCTTTACACAAGTTCCTTCTTGTCTCCCTGGTTTCCCCTCCCTGAAGAAGGTAAAACGTAACACCTTCAGAAAAGTTTCATGGGGTGGCCATGGGGACGGAGAAAATTTTGATCCTTGTGGTAACTCTGGGAATGTTTAGCCTGTAGTGATATAATAAATAATCCTTAATTCAATTTTGTAAAAGAAAACATACATTTATGGTTTGTGTGAATATTAATATGATTTAACTCATTAACTGCCAGCCATTTCCTGATCAGTAAAGCCTTTCGTTACCAGTGTTTTTCAGGGTTTTCAGTTTTTTTAAGAGTCACAGAACATGTTTCCCTAATTGCTCTACGCGACAATTGGAAATCCTACCAAGAGGCAGTTAGATCTGCAAAATTTGCATATTATTCCAATCTAATTACTTTAAACTCAAACAATCCCAGAGTACTTTATACAGCAATTAACTCTGTTCTGAAATGAAATGATCATCATGTGGTGCAGGCTTCAGCTAAAATGTGTGATGAGTTCCATGACTTTTTTTATTGGGAAAGTTGCTGCGCTCCGGGCTACCATGTCTAGGTCACCGGTATGTGGCCGTTCTGTTACTGCCATCAGAGGTTTGGTAGAATTTCGACAAATTAGTCTAGATGATTTGATCAAGATTGCTGGGAAGGCTAAGCCGAGCGGCTCGCCGGATGAAGTGATGCCAACGCGCCTCTTTGAAGAAGTCTTTCCAGTAGTTGCCCCTTTAATATTGCACAAAATTAACAATAGTCTCAGTTCTGGTATAGTCCCTGACGATTTCAAAAAGGTGGTTATTCAACCTTTGCTCAAAAAGCCTGGACTGGATGCTTCGCTGGCTTCAAACTACAGGCCCATTTCGAAACTTCCATTCTTAAGTAAGGTACTAGAGAAATGTGTTTACCACCAGCTCTTGGTTTTTATGGATGAGAATGCCATTTTTGAGACTTTCCAGTCTGGCTTCAGAGCCAGGGGCATGTCTAGGGAGTGGCCTGGGGTAGCACATGCCACCCTTGGAATCTGACTGGCCACCCCAGGTGCCACCACACAAATTTACCTTTGAATAGGCTTTTCATTGTCCACAAAAGGCTTGGGGGTAAAACAAAAAAAGCATAACCACTGGTGCCACCCATGCACAAAGCTGTGCCTCACCTGGGCCACCCCATTTTAAAAGATCTGGACACACCACTGTTCAGAGCTCTACACAGCACGGAGACTGCACTGTTTAGAGTGTTCAATGACATCTATCTAGCGACTGATAGCAATAATTCTGTGTTGTTACTTCTGCTGGACCTCACGGCTGCCTTTGACACGATAGATCATGAAGTGCTGCTTCACCGTCTACATCATTATGTCGGGATTTCAGGGTTAGCCCTGGAATGGTTTAGATAATACCTGACAAATAGAAAATGTGTGTTAGGATGGGAAGTTATTCCTCAGAGTACTCTG